CTTCCTGGCCGCCGCACGGGGCGCCCAGACAGCGGCAACTCATCGACGTCGTCGCCGGTCGTCGTCGGTTGTCGGCCGTCGATAGTCGGTCGTCGGTCGTCGGACGTCGGACGTCGTCGTTGGTCGTCGTCGCCGTCGTCGTCCGTCGTCGGTCGTCGGTCGTGGTCGTTGTCGTCGGTCGTCATGGTTACCAATCTCTCCCGTCTTCAGGGATCGGGGATCGAGATTTTGGAGGGAACGTTTGTCACAACGGCTGGATCAGCCTCAACGTTCTGGGCAGCAGAGGTGTGGGAGCGTCATCGTCATCGCCACCAGCACTATAGATGCGACGCGCCAGCGGCAATGCTTGCTAGGGTTCTCACGCAGGCTTTCTACAACATTGGATGGGTTAGCCGAGGTGCCGAGTGCCCGCCCGCGGGCGCCCGTGGGCGCCGCGTGGGCGCCTCGTGGGCTGGGTGGGTCAGCCGAGGCGTCGCCTAGTGCCCCCCCGTGGGCGCCTCTTGGGCGCAACGTGTGCTGGGCGGCCGCCCATATTGCACCACATCTCTTTCGCCACAGAGCTGGCAACACGTAGCGTACGTCTCAGAACTCGCACCACACAGCTTACGTCGCACAGCTTACGCCGCACAGCATGCGCCGCCTGGCCTACACCACATGATCATAGCTTACGCCACATAACTAGCACGACACAGTTTGCATCACATAGCTTACATCACAAATCATGTACCGCCTAGTCTACACCACACAGCGTACACAGCATAGCTGCACCGCATAGCTTGCACCTACACGAAATGACTTACACCACATAGCTTGCAGCACATAGCTGGCACCACATAGCATACACCACAGAGCTTGCACCACATATACTGCACCACATAGCCTGCACCACCTAACTTGCACCACATAACTTGCACCTCCACGAAGCAATCCGCCGGCCCCCTTGTGGGGCCACTGGGCTCCGCGGATTAGGCTGCTTGTTGCTCCCTGCTCCAGATCCAGGTTCAACTCCCCCATACTATAATCCCAACTTCTTCCTCCTACTGTAAATTGTTGGAGTCCGCGCGAGGGGGGTTCCCAAAAGGATCAAATTTACCACGCCATCCAGGGGGTCTCAGAATTTCTTAGGGGACCTGTGACATATCAAAATATGTGAGATTCGCGTCCCCGAGATCATAAGTCATCACCAATTAAGCAATATGTGCGTCCCCGCGGCAACGATCCTGTAAATTATGCAAGATTGGCGCCCCCGAGACCACGATCCCCCATAAATCAATCAGTAGTCGCGTCCCCGAGGCCACGATCCTTCGCAAACTACGCCGTGCATGTGTCCTCCAAGCAATAACCCCTCGTAAATCATACCATGCTCGCGTCCCCGAGGCCATTAACCTTTGCAGACGATGCAAGGCATACGTCACCGAGGCAAGGATCCGTCGTGAAGCGTTCCCTAGTCGCGTCCCCGAGGCCGCGGCCCCTCGGGGCTCACTCCATGTTCGCGCCCCCGAGGCCACGATCCCCCGTGTAGAGTGCGACTCGCGTCCCCGAGCCCACGGCTAAATGGGCCCTGGCAACGACAGGGCCGTTTTTTTTACCGGTTCCGTTTTGCCGTTTCTTCGCCGGTTCCGACGCCGTTTTCTTCCCGGTTCCGTCGCCATTCTTTTGCGGGTTTCCCGCTCCGGTTCCAATCCTGGAGCCATTTTTGTTGCCGTTTCCGGTCGCCGTTTTTTGCCGTTTCCATTTTCAAGGGACACTTTTTCGGAAACGGTGAAAAAACGGCCCTGCCATTTCTGGGGCCCACTAAGGGCCACGGTCCCTTGCAAAGAACATCATGTTTACATCCTCGAAGCCGTAGCCCCATTGCAAGCTATGCAGTGCTCGCGTCCTCGAGGCCACGAACCTGAGATTGCACCGTAGTTGCGCCACCGAGGCCATGCCCCCCCGTAGATTGTACAAGACTCGCGTCCCCGCAGCCATGGTCCTTCGCAAAGTACGCGGTAGTTGCGTTCTCGAAGCCTCGAGGCCATGAACCCTTGTAAGTTAGTCACCGGGGTAACGATCCCTTGCAAAATGTACACGACCTTCGCGTACTCGAGGCAACGCTCCCTCGTAAGTGACGCTGCATTCGCAGCCCCGAGACCAGGATCCCTGGTAAATTACTCGATGTTGGCGTCCCGAAGCCACGACCCCTTGTAAATTACGTAATATCCGCGTCCACGAGGCCACGATCCCTCGTCAATTCCGAAAATGTTGTACCCAAGTGGCCCCATAGAGGCCCCAAGACGCTCCCAAGAATCCCCCAAGAGGCCCTCAGGAAGCCCGAAGGGAGCACACAGGAGGCACCCAAGAGCCCCCAGGAGGCCGCAAGAGGCGCCCCATGAGGCGCCCCGTGAGGCCTTCTCCCCCCCGTCTTCACATTATCCCTCATCTCCTCCTCTTCTTCTTCCGCGTGGCCCAAGATGGCTCAAGGAACTCTCAAAGCGGCTCCCGAGACGGCCCAGGAGGGCTCCAAGAGGCCCACCAGGAGAGCCTGAGGACGCCAAAACCATAGATTGTCCTAAGGTGCTTGCAGAATCTTGAAATGTACGCCCATCCCTTAACAGCGGCGCGCACAGCACCGCACGGACGACGCGGACGCGGTACGCCCGCCAGGACAAACACGATGGAGCACTCTCGGCATGACACGCGCGGAACATCACCGCACCCGCAGCACCGCAGACATGATGCACATGACTCAGAGCGCACGCCGCGTACACACAGCGTCCACAGCACAGATCTGTGTCATGATCGGCAACAGCATCAGCACAGAACACTTGGTGATCCACCCCGCCACCGTCCCAGTCGTCAACACCACATCGATCGTCGCCGTGTTACTGTCAGTTGTGCTCGGCTCCGCTTGCCATGACCACCCAGTGTTCATGACCACCATCCCCTTAGACAATATCAAGACGAACTCATCAGCAGCAGCATCAGCACCTGGAACGGTATTATCAACGTCAACACCAGAACGACTACCAAAGTTAAAAACGCCGTCCGCCGCAACAACATCATCGCCAGAATCGCCAACCACAGCGCGACCATCACCATCATCATCATCATCATCATCAGCAGCAGCAGCATCAGCATCATCATCATCACCATCAGCAGCAGCAGCAGCATCATCGTCATCATCATCACCATCACCATCACCATCAGCATCATCGTCATCATCAGCAGCAGCAGCATCAGCAGAATCATCATAATCAGCATCATCATCAGCAGCAGCATCATCCTCATCCTCGTACTCATCATCATCATCAGCCGCAGCAGCATCCGCATAATCGCCACCACCACCGTAACGACGTTCACCATCACCATCACCAGCACCATCATCCCTATCAGAATCCCCATCATCATCATCCTCGCCATCACCACCACCACCACCACCACCGTCATTACAAATATCTTCAATACAATGAGCGTCTTCGCCGCCGTCTTCGCAGTCAAAGAGGGCGGCGGCAGCAGCAGCAGCAGCGGGACGGGAGACGGCCCCGGCCGAACATGCGTAGGGCACGCGGTCGACCCATGCCATACCATACCATGCAAACGAGGCGCCTGCAGCTCACACACCTAAGGCAGAGAGGAAGCGGAAGAAGAACACGCAAGCAGAGTAGAAGAGGAGGAGGAGGAGGAGGAGTAGAGGTAGGAGGAGGAGGGAGGAGGGAGGAGAGGAATAGGAAGAAAGAAGGATGGAGGAGGGAAGGACCAGGGATGTGGGAGGGAGGAGGGAGGAGGAGGGAGGAGGAGCAGTCGGAGGATGAGGGTCGCCATTCTGTACCTCGTTACCCCTCCGAGCGACGGCGGTACCAGAGAGCGCCGCTCCTCCCCCAGCAGGGGGCGGGAGAGTTCTGGCCATCGGATTCTCCAACAGCCGACCACGACGGGAGTCGAGACCATCGCCGTCAGCAATCGGCCGCCGCAGCAAAAAGCAGGATCAGTCTTGGAGGCTGGGACAGGGGCACCAACACCAACACAGGGGGTTGCCGCCACCAGGGAAAGATGATCTTAGATGTTGGCGTTGGTGGTAATGTTTCGGTCATTCAGAAAGCCCGCATTTTACCACCATCACCGAGATCGGGAGCATCTTCCCTCGGTGAAGGCACACCGCCGATCTTGATGCTGATGTCAACCTTTAAGGCCTCCGACAGTCAGCACCGAATCCAGACATCGGGTCGGATCGGAAGGTGCGTCGGACCAGAGCACATCGGCACGGAATCGAGATCGGATCGGGCCGGATGGGCCTGTTTTCCACTAGCACCACCACAAGTTGGAGCGGGGGAGGAGGTGGAGGACGAGGAGGAGGGCGAGGAAGAGGAGGGGGAGGAGGAGGAGGAGGAGGAGGAGGAGGAGGAGGAGGAGGAGGAGGAGGAGGAGGAGGACCCCGTCCCCCTCCAACGTGTGGTGGTGGTGGAAAACAGGCCCATCAGGGCCCGCCACGGACCGGACCGAGACGGACCCTGCGGCGAGAGGGAGGAGGAGGGAGGAGGAGGAGGAGGAGGAGGAGGATGAGGAGGAGGGGGGGGGAGGAGGAGGAGGAGGAGGAGGAGAGGATGAGGAGGAGGAGGAGGAGGAAGAGGAGGAGGAGGAGGAGGAGGAGGATGAGGAGGAGGAGGAGGAGGAGGAGGAGGAGGAGGGGGGGGAGGAGGAGGAGGAGAGCCGAAGCCGAAGAGCCGTCATCCGTGCACCGCCGCAGGAGATGCCGAGGGCCCCTGCCACGCCGCGCCAGCTCCCGGCAGGCAAGAGGCACAGGGGGGAAGAGGGGCACGTCGCCGACGCCTCGAGCTCGGGGTCTCGAAAGGAAGCGGAGGGCCGCGCTGGGCCAGCGGCTGCCAGCAGACTTCGCAGGCCCGCCTCTCCATCCCCCCCTCCTCCGCTGACTGCTCGCCTCCCTCCTGGGAGAGGGGAGGGGGAGAAACGGGGTGACCTGAACAGATAACCACCTACGAAAAGGGGGGGAAGGGGAGGGG